GAGGCTCTGAGGGGGATCTTTCCAGGCTCTCACCTGCCTTCTGGTGGTTGTACTGATCCTTGGTGTTTCTTGACTTGTAGAAGTGTCACACCACATCTCTGCCTTCCTATTCACATGGCATTCTCTGTGTGTGTCCAGATTTCCCTTGTGTAAGAACACAGGCTTATTGGAGTAGGGCCCACCCTAATGAGCTCATTCACCTTAACAAATTATATCAGTAGTGACGCAGTTTCCCAGTAAGATCATGTTCTGAGGTATAGGGGATTAGGACTTCAACCTGTGAATTTTAGGGAGACACAGTTCAGCCTATGACACCCCAGCTTGCTTCTTACTCCTCAGTGATGTGGTTTCATTTCTCACCTGTCCAGTGGAGATTCACACTAAAAGACTGTGGCAACTTCTCTCTGGCCAGTCTCCCTCGCCCCACGTGCCTGACCTTCTGCTGCCATCCACCTGCTCCCACCGCTTGCTTCCAACTCTGGACACCACATTTGGCAACTCCTGAAGTTGTCCTGGCCTCTCCTCGTTTATTCTTGCCTGTGACGTCTCTTCCTGGTTTCCTAGATGCATGCCTTGCCTCCTTCATTCTTGTCTTTGCTCTTCTGAGGCCTCATCTTCCAGTTTTTCAGACGCTGGTAACCACCTCAATGCTGGAAATTCACCAGTCTTAGTGTCGTCCTCTCATCTAAGTCCTTGGCTACCCTTGGTGTTCGTGATCATCTTAAACACAGCACATTCGAGGGGAACCTGCCATTCATCCCTACTCAGCAGCATCTCTGTTCTCTTAGTCTCCATATCCATTGCTTGTGGAATCAGATCATGTAGCAGTGAAGGATTAGGTTGGCTAGAAGGAAGATTTCGTGTGATGAGCAGTGTTGCAGAGGAGGAAAGTGCACATTCACATGATAAACCATAAAGGACACTGAATTCTGTGGATGGAGCTAACCCATTGCTTGCTCTCTTGGGCCCGAGCACTTGGCTAATTTGCCAGGGCCTGCTCCCTCACAGACACCACTCACTCCACTCAGTTCATGTCCACGATTGCATTACCTCTAGCTCAGCCCATCTCGTCAATGCACTGTTGGTGATGGGGGCTAGTTAGAGGAGAATGATTCATTTAGATGCAAAGTGGTGCATGCACACCCTCCCAGACAGTACATTATTCTGATGTGGACTGCTTTTCTAAGCTATTACCCATCAAGGTCTTCCTGACAATTGTCTGCAAATTGATTTTAGGATTGTTATTGCTTCAGTATTTTGTTGGGTACGAATAGGTCTCATTGTTAGATTCAGAAGTGGAGAGGAAAAACCATTTAGTAGAAACGAGTTGACTGGTTAGAAGCAGGAGGTCTGGTTCTACATCTAGCTCAAACTCTAACTGTGGGGTCTTGGGCAAGTCACCTAACCATGGAATTGGTCCAGGTGCTCTCTCAGGACCCTTTGGGCAACAGCAGTTGGACTTTATCATTAGTATAGTAGTTATAGCATAAGGCATGCTTTTTTTGGTCATTAAAACCATGATGTATTTAGTTAATTCACAAGAATCCATGCTTTCTGGGGTCAGGGCCTTGCCTGCCTTCTTTGTCAGTATCCTAGTACAGTGCTTGGGACAAAGTAGATGCTCAGGAGAAACCAGCTTTATGAAGAAATGAGTCAGATTTTTGTATTTCCTCTTTGAAGGAAATAGGGGGCAAATGTTGTTAATCCATTTCTCCCTGAGGGCAGTGTGGTTGAGTCCAACAGGGTCACTCTTAGCCTCAGTGTCATTGAGAGAGAAGCCTCTGGATGCCACCTCACAGAGGGGGCAACCCTAATGAGTGTAGCAAGAACTCCATCTGCATGACTCATGTGTGTCTGAAATCTGTGCCTGAACTTGAAGTCTAGATCGTGCTTCGTGGCCACTGGGTTTCTAACTGTCAGCAGTGGGAAAGAAATCACACGTGGAGCGTGGGTTCTTTGGTTGGAAGATACTGAGCCGGCAGGTAGTTCACACTCTGGCTCCAGAGAATCTTTCACCTGATGATAATACTCTGCTTATATAAAGACTTCAACATACTGGGCTGTGGAGGGTACACATTGGTTTATGACAAATTTTGTCTGGGGTTGAGAGAGTCAGAAACCCATAGAATTTTATAACTAGATGTGACTTTAGGAATTACATACCATTTACAGATGAGAAGTGCAGAGTCCAGGATGGTTAGGTGACTCGTTTGCTTCATGCAGTTGGTAAGGTGCCACTAGGATCAGAACCGAGATTCCTGGTGGGCTGAGGACATCCCAGCCCCCATACTCTGGAGGCTTCAGCATCTGTGGTTCTGAGTGGCTCCCATGAAGAGAAGCCACATGATAGAATCATAGCTGTGACCCTTAGAATTCCATTCTGGGAGAGACAAGAGGAGTTTGGTTGAATTGTCCTTCTCTGATAAGCTGAGTGAAATCTCTGAGTGAAAATAGCAGTGATGTCATCATGGATCTGTGCGGCAGTTTCTGGTGTACACGGGCTTTCCACAGATAGTCTCGTTCATTCCTCTGTCAGCCTCATTCCAGGTGGGGATCCAGGAGAGCCCAGTGGGACTTGGTTGGTTGGTGGCTGAGGAAGGAAATAGGAATTTCTGACCCTATGCCACTCTCTGCTTCTTTGTATTTTTGTTTCTGTTGGTGACACGTTTTCTAAAATGAGCTATAGCTTTAAAAAAAATGTAAGTGCTATTTTAAATGGTGTTATCACCATCACACAAAACAGCTAGAGGCTGTGCATAGTTTAGGGCGGTGGGAAGTCAGGGCTGGACCTGCTGCTCCTGTGGCTCCAGTGGGCTTTTGCCCGAAGGCTCTCTGGCTGCAGGTGAGAACGTGCTTCAAGCATCCAGGAAGGATTGCCCTGGAAACCACCATCTGAAGAGCATGAACTATTTTTAATTGAAACAGTAATGCAAAGGGAAAGAAATTCCACCTAAACTGACATAAACAATCATTTTTTGAAGGAGTAAATTGTTAGGTTCTTTAAATTTCAGTGCTAAAAAGGTATTTCATGATAATTGAACCCACTCTTTTCCCTGCCCTGCCCACCCTCTGTCTCACCCCGATTCTATAAAGGGCTGGCTGGGTTTTGTCGAACACCCCAGACTGCCCTTTCCTTAGGGGGTTGGAGCCCTTTGCCCTCTGCACATTGTGCACTCCTTAGTGGGGCAGGGGAAGGGTCAGCTTCACTGCTGGAAATGTGTTCCTTTCTTGGCCGTGTTGTTTTGTAAGAAGAAATGTCAGTGTTGAGCTGGGGACAGCCCAGGCATCTTTAAAATTGTTCCATGTGGCCTCAGGGAAGTTCATCCCATTGCAGTGTTTTCCCATGGCACATGTCTTTCCTGGGACTTGTGTGTCTTTCGGTCTAAGGAGAAGTAGACTTGGAAGATGTGGTGACCGCGGGTGGTTTAGTTTGAGGAGCGCTACTGCGCTGGCCTTGCATGGAACGAGCAAGAGGAGGCCTGTAGGTGTCTTCTCCTCAGGCAAGTTACTGTCCCATGGGGAAACATCGGTAGCGTTGGGAAAAGAGCCCCCTCTTCTCCTTTGGGGACAGTGTACGGCCACTGGATTCTTGAATGCTTTCAGAACTAAGTTCCGGAATCGTCCAGACCAGGGAGAGACTGGTCCATCTGAGACCCTCAAAATCACCAACGTAACACAGTATGTAACCCAGTGCAGTGGTTAGTGAAAGCCTCGGTGTGAAGCGCACTAAGGCCTGTCTGGCTAGGCCTGGAGTCACCATCCATGAGACAGCTCCTGACTGTCTCCCTAGAGGCAACCAGAATCCACTGAAGGTATTCCAGCTTGAGAGGATACAATCCCTTTTGCATTTTATTTATTTTTTTAAAGATTATTTATTAGAGAGAGCACGAGCAGGGGGAAGGGCAGAGAGAGAAGCAGGCTTCCCGCGGAGCAGGGACCCCGACGCGGGGCTCGATCCTGGGACCCTGGGACCCTGGGACTATGACCCGAGCCGGAGGCAGATGCTTCACCGACTGAGCCACCCCCACTTTTGCATTTTATAAAGCTGCTTCTGGCTGCTGAGTGGGCAGTGAGTCAGGAGGCAGAGCAGCAACCAGATGGGAGACGGTGGTGGAGAGGCAGAGAGAATGGACTAAGAGATCCAGAAAAAAGGTGGTAAGACTTGGTGATTGTAGGGAGTTAAGGAGAGGGTCATATCCTGGCATTTCCTGTGTGTGGCTGTGTTCTACGAAGAAGGTGTTGCTGCCCTGCTCTATTTTCCCCAAGGCTGTGGAGACTGCTCAGCACAAATACAAGGTGATAGGCAGGTAGAATTAATGGAGAATACCTGAAAATTTGAGTAAGTACATGTACCGGCCCAAATGTGAGGTGCTGAGAGAGTAAGTCCCGCTTGGGCTTTATCTACAGGCTGCCTTGTCCAGGTCAGGTTCCTGGGGGCTTGCTGCCATCTGTGCTGTGCAGGCCACCTTCGGGGTAGATGGCCCATTTGGGGCCCTGCTTTTATGTGGGTCACTGAAGACGGTGAGGTGGTGGGAAGTATGGACGTTGTGCCCCTGGGCGAACCTGGCAGGGGCTGGGGGTGAGGGCCCCAAGACGGGGAGCCACACAGTGGGGCCAGAGATGCCTTCACGAGTTCAGAGAGCACCATAGCTCAGAGGGAATAGCTGTTGTTTCTGACGACAGAACTGAAAGAGACTTCAAGATAAAGAAGGGCAGACTTTCCAGAATCAGAGCCTTTACTCTTTGAACCAGCTACCACCAAGCAAAGGGTGCCCCTTTATCACTGGGAGTCTTAAATACAGGCCAGAAGGCTATTGGCCAGGCCCTTCACGAGAGTGTGTGTGGCACCCACTCATCTGTCCTCTTGTATTCGGGTCTGTTCACTCTGGCTCTGGCTCTGTGCTGTGCCCTGTGTTGTGGGGGACTCCCAGCACTTGGGAGTCTTCTGACATAATAGAGGAACAGCTCCCACACCCATTATTACAGCACGGTGTGATGTCCGCGTGGACAGGAGCAGGTGGGAGAGCCTGGAGGTAGAGAGATGGCAATGGCTGAAATTGTGAGTTGGGAGAGGGTTGGTGAAGTCTTCCATCCAGGACTGGGGTTCAGTGGGGAGGAAGGCATTGCAGAACCTGGGAATAGTGTGTGCCAAAGCCTGGAGGATGCCGCTGCCCCCCTCTGGATAGGTAGGGCAGGCTAGGGAAGAAGGTGGGAGTGGGTGGTGGCATCGGAGTCAAATGGAAGGGCCCCGTGGCTTTTATAGAAGTGTGTGCAGGGCACTGGAGGGCTGTCTGCACAGGAGGCAGTTCATTTTGCATTGTAGAAAGTTTCTGTGGTCACAGAGAGAACAAGTAGAAGGGAAGTGGACAGGTTAAAGCCCAGGACCAGTCAGGAGGCCATGCAGGCTGGAGATGGTGAGGGTAGGGATGGACGTGGGGGAGGCCAAAGAGGCGTTCAGAGGAGCAGCTGACATGGGCAAGGGTGTGACCGTGGGTGGGACGGGCAGTGAACGTGGACCACTTAGTAAGAAGCACTTGCTCCATAGAGCTGGACTCTGCATCTGGGATTCTTGGAAGGGTTTGGAAATGTGTTTAGGAATCATTACAGATTAGGTCTGGGGATATGGAGAGAGAACTGGGGAGAGCAGATAACATAAGAACAAGAGAGAATCAACAGCACAAGTCCGGGGGCGCCTGGGTGGCTCAGTCGTTAAGCGTCTGCCTTCGGCTCAGGTCATGATCCCAGGGTCCTGGGATCGGGCCCCCCATTGGGCTCCCTGTTCAGCGGGGAGTCTGCTTCTCCCTCTGCCTGCCGCTCTGCCTACTTGTGCTTTGTCTCTTTAAAAAAAAACCAAAACAGTACAAGTCTGGTAGACATCAGTACTTCAGTGGCGTGTCGATGAAAAAAGGCAGAGGAACGGGAACTGGAAAAGGGGTTGAGGAGTGATTAGAGGAGTTGTAGAGCCAGGAAGGAAGGGGTGATGGGGTCCATGGAGAGGAGAGGTGCCAGACATTTCACTGAGCAGTGGAAAGGTGAGCATGAAGACAGCCATGGGACTCCCGGTGTGCAGACAGTGAGGGGTGTGCAGAAAGCAGTTGAATCGAGTGGGAAGTGGTTCTTTCTAATGTCAAGATGTCATGCTGTAAACACTAAAATCACTGGCAGGGAAAGTACCAACAGGTGCTAAATACTTCTCTGTAAATTTGGAATCCCCTGCTTTCTCCCCCCACATACTCACCCCGCTCCGTGATGCTCTTGCTATTTCCACTTTTCCGATCATCTTTAGTGTTACTGTATCTTTAAATGCTCATCAAAAATTATTTAGACAGAGTACTATGGGAATAAAACAAAATGATACAGTGTGGATGGTGCTCCTTTCTTATGATGATTTTCTCATTGACTCCATGATGAAAGAGAGCAGGTCCAGAGAGGTCACCAAACCACACACATGCCAATAACAGTTCAGGCAGGTAGAGGATTATTTTCTTGGGAGAAGTCAACCATGAACGGTACATTTGTGAGGTATTTTTCTGATCCTATTTTCTTTATTTTTTAAAGTGTATATTTTGAAAGGTGAATTTTTAGAATGGCATATCTTTTAAACCTTGAAATTCTACAGAAATTGTTTCTATTTTCTTTTTAACTAAACAGATGGAGCAGATTTGTTGTCTTATGTTCTCTTTTCATAAATATTTTCAAATTATTTCATTAATTTTAAGTGAGGAAGAAGCAAATGCATGTAAACAGCTGCTCCCATGTTGATGGGTGAGGAGTTTGAAAGTACACTTGATTCTTCTTACGTTGCATCAGCCTCTGGGCCTTCAGAGTTTGGTTCTTGCTATTGAGATGGTTCTTTGGCTGGTGGGAGCCATGGTCTTGTGCATGTGCATGTGCCCCTTTGGATCACTACATTTGTATCTTTGGGGTAAATACCCAGTAGTGCAATTGCTGGGTCATAGGGCAGCTCTATTTTCAACTCTTTGAGGAACCTCCGTACTGTTTTCCAGAGTGGTTGCACCAGCTTGCATTCCCACCAACAGTGTAGGAGGGTTCCCCTTTCTCCACATCCCCGCCAACATCTGTTGTTTCCTGACTTGTTAATTTTAGCCATTCTGACGGGTGTGAGGTGGTATCTCGTTGAGGTTTTGATTTGGATTTCCCTGATGCCGAGCGATGTTGAGCACTTTTTCATGTGTCTGTTGGCCATTTGGATGTCATCTTTGCAGAAATGTCTGTTCATGTCTTCTGCTCATTTCTTGATTGGATCATTTGTTCTTTGGGTGTTGAGTTTGATAAGTTCTTTATAGATTTTAGATACTAGCCCTTTATTTGCTATGTCATTTGTAAATATCTTGCAAATAATCTTCTCCCATTCTGTCAGTTGTCTTTTGTTCCCTGTTATTAAGATCTTACTTTAGTACAGTATATTTGTTATAATTAATGAATCAATATTGATACATACTGTGAATTAAATTCTATATTCAGATTTCCTTAGTTTTGACTTAATGTCCTTTTTCTGTTCCAGGAATCCAAGTAGGATGCCCTATTATATCATGTCTCCTTAGGCTCCTCTTGATCAAGACATTTCTCAGACTTCCCTTGTTTGTGGTAACCTTACAGTTTTGAGGAATGCTGGTCAGGTATTTTGCAGAATGTCCCACAATTTGGATTTATCTGATTCTTTTCTCATGATTAGACTGGGGTTTTGGGTTTTAGGGAGGAAGACCACAGAGGTAAATACCCTTCTTCTCATATCGCGTTAAGGCTACATATTGTTAACACGACTCATCTCTGTGGATGTTGACCTGGAGCTCCTGGCTATGGTGTGGTGGCCAGATGTCTCCACTGTAAAGTTACCCTTTCTTCTCCTTCCACACTGTAGTCTTCGGAAGGAACTTGCTATGCACAGTCCACACTTAAGGAGTGGGGATTATGCTCCCTCTCCTTGAGGGTGGAGAATCTACATAAATTATTTGGAATTCTTCTGCACAGATGTATCTCTTTCTCCATTTATTCAGTCATTTCTTTTATACTCTGGGTTATACTCTAATACTACTTTATTTTTTTTGCTCACATTTTTCCACCTTAGGTTATTGGGAGCTCTTTTAGTTGGTTTGTATGTCTCTGAATACTCCCATCATTGTGGATTTTTTTTTCAGCACTTCTTCACTTCCTGACACTACAAGGTACTTTAGGCTCATCTGGTGTGTTTCCTGTCCCATGCTGGAATTTGCTATTTCTCCAAGAAGTCTTGGTTCTTTTATTTGAAATGGTATTGGAAACTGAGTGCTAGGCGTGCTCACTGCTGCTGTGGAGTCATTGCTTCCAGAATATCTTAGCTGACAGAGCAGTGAGAGATATGTGTGAACGTATGCATGCTTATAAACATTTCTCTCTGTAATTCGTAGTATCTCTGTCAAGCTAAAGATAAGCTTGTACTGCCTTCAACTCCATTCTGTCATCACAGGGACAATCCCAGTCTATGCCTCTTGATTCTGGTTCTACTCCAACAATGAGGACACTGGTTCCCGCCATCCACCCCTGTTTACATAATTGTTGGATTTCAGAATACATGAATAGTTAGCAGTGTCAGAACTGTTAGTCTGTAGTCCTCGGGCAGCAGCTTTATCAACTAGAACACCGGGCTTCTGTGCACTTCCTTTTGAACAGGCCCTCCTCATTTCCAAAGTGACTGAAGACAGCAGCCTTCTCCAAGCACTTCATTGACAGGGTTTCCCACATTTCCAGCACAGTTGGATTCTCTCATCATACTCTTCATTCCTTCCTGGGGTCCCCTGCCTCCCTGTTGATTTTTTTGTTGTTGTTGTTAATTTGCATTCACTAAGATTCATCTTTGTGCTGCGAAGTTTGCTGGGTTTCAACAGACTCTTAGAGTCAAGTATCCACAGTTACAGCAACATACTGAGAAGTTTTCTTGCCTTAAAAAACTTGGTGCTTCACCTCCCTCCCTTCTCCTTGGACCCTTAGCAACCAGTGATCTTTTTATTATGTTGTTGCCTTTTCCAGAGTTTTCTGATTGGTTTCTTTCACTTAGCACTCTTCATTTAAGAATGGCTTATTTCAGGGGTGCCTGGGTGGCTCAGTCATTATGTGTCTGCCTTCAGCTCAGGTCATGATCCCAGGGTCCTGGGATTGAGCCCCGCGTGGGGCTCCCTGCTCAGCAGGAAGCCTGCTTCTCCCTCTCCCACTCCCCCTGCTTGTGTTCCCTCTCTCACTGTCTCTCTATGTCAAATAAATAAATAAAATATTTTTTTTAAAAGTGACTTATTTCAAATACTGTGATAACAGCCCTGTTCCACCCAGGGACCCGATGAATGTACTCCTGCCCACTATGTTTGTGCTGATCCTCAGGAGCCTGCAGAGACACCACGCTGAACTGGAAGCCCATGGGTGTTATTTGCATGTTATTTGCAGGGCAATGCTGTGCATTAGACTTGCCTGTACAAGGGTTTCTTTTTCTTACGTGAGGCCCACAGAGTGTCTGTTGAGGTATGTCCAAGGGAAAATGGCACTGGACCTGTTTGGATGGTGTCCTTTTATGTGGCTGCAAGGTGTGCATGGTTTAGAGGAACTGGAGGGACAGAGCACTTCGTGATTGGTGTGTTGTCGCTCACCTCCCACCTTCTACATAAACTGATGTTCTCTTGTGTTCACATCTCAGTATGTGACCTCTGTCTCGTTATTTAAATGGGATTACCAGGCCATGCTGTTCCATGTAGGCCCTGGGACAGGCTGCAGGATGGGGTCTACACCTGGGAGTGGTGAGAGATTGTAGCCAGCTGCCTCCGTATGTTTGGGTGGTGGGGAAGGAGGAGGGAAAGTGTGCGAGGGAATCTGGGGCGGAGGTTCTGCAGTGGTTGCACCTATGAGGAAAGGATACAGAGCCCTGAATATCAGAAGGAAAATTAACCTGCCATTTTCTGCCATCCCCAAGTCCTGGCCAACTGTTTCAACCTTTTGACTTGAGAAAAATAAATTCAAAATTGCCTATTAGTTGCAGTTGTGTTGCTTGGGTGAGAGTCTTTGTACACCACTTAC